CCTGACGCCATCATCTTACAACAACAACAACAACAAGAGCTGCAGCTGCAGCTGCAGCTGCAGCTACAGCTACCGCTACTACTACTACTACGACTACTACTACTACTACTACTACTACTACTACTCCTGCTGCTGCTGCTACTACTACTACTGCTACTACTACGACTACCATTACCACTACGACTACCACTACCACCACCACTACTACTACTACTTCTTCTGCTGCTGCTGCTAGTGCTGCTAGTGCCGCTACTACTGCTACTGCAACTTCTACTGCTACGATTACCAATATTCCTTTCAAAAGTGCTATTGCGATTTGCATTGCCATTGCTATTGCTATTACTGTTCCTACTGCCACCACCGCTACCACAATTGGCACTCCTGCTGCTTCTGCTTCTCATCCTGCTCCTTTCCGGCTCTTTACAATCACTCCGACGACGACTGCCAGTACTCCTTCGATTATGGTCTCAGGAATGTAATTCGTATGTCTATGACCCGGACAACTCGACAGCTCCCACGTTTTTAATTTTCAGCGGAACATGGTTTAGGGTCACAGCATTCGGCAGATCCATTGTCATGCGCTGGTATGTTATGTCGGCTTCGGCGTAGCACCACCAAGGTTCTGTTCCTGACTTTCGGGTACCTGCTCTGGCACGGCCGGCGCAGGTGCGAACCGCGCCTTCTACAAACTGCATTCTGTTCGACAGTAATGCAAGCGACAACTGCAATATTGTAGCAAATCATGGTATGTCTCCTGACCCTTGTTGTTTCCCTTTATCTGTTCTAGCCTGTCTTGCCTCTTCTTGTCTCTTTCGCCCTTGTTATCTCCCTCGCTCTTCTCTTTTTCTCTTGCTCCCTCTCTTTGTCTCAACAGAAATACACATATCCATACATGCACGCATTCCCGCCTGCAAAACGGCGGAGCGAAAACATGTGGGTATATAAACATTATATCATCATCTGCGAGTGCATGCATGCATACTGACGTACTAATACATGCATGCATTTATACTCCCGCACGTACACACTTACACACTTACACACGTACATACACATACACACATACACACATACGTACATACATACATACATACATACATACATACATTTACACAGGCATACATGCAACAAGAAAGTGCACACATACAGCCATCCGTGCATGCATGTGGACATACATACATACGTAGATGCAGACCGACGTGAATACGTCCACAGATACATATATGTACATGCATACAGGCAGGCAAGCAGGCAGAAAGACAGACAGAAAGACGCACAGACAGATGCCAGCCAGACGTACGTACATACACAGGTACATGCATACCTACATGCATACATACATATATGTACATACGCACGTACGTGCATACACCCGCAAAGGTACATACATGCCTACGTACACGCATACAAACGTACCTACATACACATGCATACATACATACATACATACATACATACATACATATGTACTTACATACATACATACGCAGGTACATACGGCATACATACATACATACATGCCTACCTACATACATACATACATGCATACATACATACATACATACATACATACATACATACGTACATAAGTACATATTACGGACACGCGCACATGCATACATATTCAGACAAACACAAGTGCGCACGTTCAGACACACACACACACACACACACGAACTGCTAGCCTATCTCAAAAGATATACACATAATGTCTGTATGTGTATGTACAAATGTGTATGTGCATGGATGTATGTATGCATGTATGTATGAACTATGTATGTACATATATTCATTTATATGTACACACATGTGCCTGTGCCTGTGCCCCTGCCCGTGCATGTGCATGTGCCTGTGCATGTGCATGTGCATGAGCATGTGCATGCACATGTGCATGCACGTACATACATACGTGCGTACATACATAGTTACATCTGTACACACATCGTGTATGTCGGAAGCGCAATTGTGAGTGTAAATCTGGGCCACCTTGTTGTCGCAATGCTTCGGCACCCCGTCTCCGAATCACCGACGAGCAACGCGGAGCCAGGCAAAAGATAAACATTACAAGACAGAGGCTTCGCCCGAAGAGGTTCTTGGGTCTAGTGTTCCACCATAGATGTCGAATCATGTTCAACTCGAATCATCTCCCAAGCTTCCCATCTTCACCGCAGGCAGAAAATCGTTCCGGAAGGAGCGAAGGGAGCCGTGTGACTCAGCATCGCCCTGCGCGAGAGTTGCGTTGAGGATGTTTCACCCGGGCTTGCCCTCTGGGTTTCGATGCAGTTCCAGAGGTCGCCGGTTTTCCTGGTTTGTCGTGCGCATCTCTAGAAGTTTGCTTTCACAACTGCCAGCCATGCTGCTTAAGGCTTGGACGGACGGGCGACGGTTTCAGCGCCGAGCCCAGCTTCTGCCTGTCGCCCGTCTTCCGTCTCTCACATGCTCCTGGCCTTTCCGTACCTCACGCTCTGCAGCTTCCCGAGTTCTCCGCCTTGTGACGTCAGGTATCCGTGGGACAGCATGGCCGATGGCTTGGCATGAGACTCAGCCGGCAGCTGCGGCCCCTACCAGACGACTGCCGACCCTGTGCTTAGAGTGACGAGGCCCAGCTGATCTGGTCTCCGCCGGATGCAAGAGGGAAGAAGACAAAGCTCGAGGAGGCCCGGTCCCTGGACAGCACGGGACTTTTTGACGAAAGCACTTGCAGGCAGTGCTGGCTGGCGCACGCATGCAGCACACAGCATGGCAAGACAGCCTGCAGGATGCTGGGCCATAGCGCAACACAGCAGAGCAGAAATGAACATTCGCTGTGTAATGGAACCGAAGATGATGTTGAGTGACCTGGCAAACCATGCTGGAAGACTGGTTAACACAGTAGATAGTAATGCATCGGGCGTGCATTATGGGTGCAGTATGAGCCGAGCTCATCGTAGTCTGGCAACACAGAGTGCAATCATAATATGTGCCGTGCACAGCATGCTGTTTCACAATAGAGACTTCGTTCTCGCTGTCGCAAAATGATACGGCGGGTGTTACAAACACGTACAACAGAAAGTTGCAGTACGTAGGACATCTTATTGTCGCGTTGTGATGCGGTGCGACATAGCATGGCGCAAAACAGACTGGCACGGTGAGACATGATGGAATTGAAGAGTAAATGTCAACGCGCTACAGCATGGTTTACCCGTTTACCCTATAATTATAGTAGTTGACAGTATCAGGCATAGTTGCAATATATCTTTCACAGATCCACAAACTGTAGTGCAGGCTAGTGCTAGTACAGAATGATATCGGCTATCATTGGACAAATTTCGCGGATGGATTTTCTTCCCCAGAATGAGCTGCGGCTCTTTGCCTCTGCGCTAGAGAGATCCCTTAGCAGAGCCATAAAACCTCTTTAAGCGATTGTTAACATCCTATGAAGCCGTTTATAATGCCAGAAGAAACCCTACGAAACCTGGAGGATCAAGCGGCACCTCCGACGCCAACAGACTTTTGCCGGGATCTCAGAAATTGAGTGTGCTCGGGTCATCCCCTTCCTCGGCTGACCTTCCTGAGCACGGGTGGGGTTCGAATGGTCCCAGACCATTGGGTCTTGAAGCTGTGAGGTTGCCTGGTGCATGTGTGTCTGTCCCGAGATTCGCCGTGGAAATTATTCATTCTTAGGAGGGGTGACGCTTCACCAGTGGTTTACTGCATGCGTCAGTGGTCTCCTGCCGTATTCAGCTGTTCGATGGTATTTCCCACATTCGCAGCAAAAGTACGTGGCATCAAACGCGAGATGTAGCTCGTTTCCGAATGGCGATTGTCAACGACGATGAAGCTAGCTTGACTCTACGCTTGAAGCGCGCAGCGCCCACGAATCCTGAATCCTGTGTAAGCACCCTGATGCCCGAAGCTCGCGGGTTCTAAGAAGCTGTAACGCCTGGTGTCGTCTATTCAGCAGTCGAGCCCGTTCCCCTACGATCTCTACGTTACTCGGAGGTTCATGGGACTTAGTAAGTGCAGTTATAAGTACCTTAATTGGGGTTGCAAGAATTTATACATAACCCTAGTTACTAAGTCCCATGAACCTTAAGCACTGGTGAGTCCAACTCCAGTCCACAGCCTCTGCAGACCGCCGCTCCGTGGTGGGCCAGTCGCCCGACGCCGTGCAGTCGGCGGCGAATTCGTTGCCCTTGGCCGAGAAATTCGGAGCGGGGCCTCTCTCTCTTTGGTTCTTCGGTCAGTTGAGGGGGCAGGGCAGGCACGTTTGCACCTCCACATGCGGTGCTGCTGAGGTCGGGTTCGCTTGGCTCCGAAGCTGGGCAGGTTGTAGCTGCTGCGGCGTCACAGGTGCATTCTCGCATACCTCGGCTTTTGCCAGTCTGCGAACTGCGAAAGTCCAAGACATCATGGCAGTTCATGCGTGGTTGTGAAGATGGATGAGCTTAAGTTAGCTGGGGATTCAAGCTACCCAGCTGTGCATGTCAGGTGCGAGCTACCTCCACTGTGACGGCTGCAGCAGCACAGATGCGAGTGTGCGAGGCCAGGCAGCTTTCCTGTCCTGAGGGCGTCATAGGAAGTCTTACTGCAGAGCTGCAGCGGGCACGGTTAAGCGATGTTACCTAGACTCGAGCGATGATGATGCAGGTGCAGGCCAGTGGGGGCAGCGAAGATGGCAGCACGAGGCCATCGAGCGGCAACTCGCAGCCGAAGCCTCCCCAAAGCGCCGAGCAGTCAGCTCTTGCGCTGCCGTTGCCCCGGTCGCCGATGCGCCGGATGGACTGGCCGGAAGCGAATCCGGCGGCTTCGAACACCGCGCTTCGCTCCACTGCCTCTCCGAGCAGGCACGACAGCGCGGCAAAGTGGGAGTTGATGCCTCCAAGCACGACACCTCCCGCTGCATCTCCTCCGAGAGCAAAGGTGTCTCGGCAGCAGCGTTCTGCAGAACCTGTTGTCGTGCCCTAACTAATTATTTTCTGAAACAGAAACACAAGTTCCGGCAGATGCTTGACTTGGGAAGAGAAGCCAATCGCCCTTTCAGGTGGCGGCTGTTCGAGTTCTCCGGAAAGCTCCAGATGCCTCAGCGAGAGCGCACATGTCGCCACCAGCCTTGTCACATGGCAGCACTTGGACAAAATCAGTTTGAGCCAAAAGCCTGAGCTGTTCTATCCTGTGACAAGTTGTTCTATCCTGTGACAAGTCAGGCCAACCCTGCCGCCCACCGCACCTTGGCAGACATGTTGCCGTTGAGGTGATGATCGAAGAAAGCTCGATGCAGACCGCTATAACTTATGTAACATACATATACAGAGGTAGGCATCGTAAAGTTCCCAACCCAAACCGAATTAAGCCCCATTGTCCTGAGAATGACCTGCTCGAACTGTCCCTGCAAAACCGGCCACGGCCCGGTATTTCTTGACCCGGTACGTACGAAGGTACGTGTGCATGCGCAGACATACACAAGTCAATTTTCCGATTGGTGATTGCTCGCAGCACCCCGTTGAAGCGTGCTTGAACAGCTCTTCTGGAAGGAGATGCTCCCAGAACCCTGAAACTCCCGAGACATCCTCAAGCCTGCAAAGAGCGACATTTTCTTGTGCAGTCTGTCCTGAAAAAGGCGGTGAGGATAGCCAGCCGCAAGGGCGGCTCCTCAGCTCAGGAGACCCATGAGTCTGTCGCTCTCAATGTCTCAATGGTTACAGAAACAGAAGAGACACGGACAGGGGATTCTGGAGTTTGTCGTTCGGAGTCCTTATGGCTGAGCGAGAGAGAGAGAGAGAGAGAGAGAGAGAGAGCATGCGGAGATTGACTGATCGGCTGACTCATGCTTGATTGATGGATTGATCGGTTGATTGATCGCGTGGGGAGGCGGAGTTTGTATTAGCAAGCTTTGCGGCACAGTTCTGAAGGAGCCACCAGAATCAGAACGGAGCAGAGCAAGCTCCTGGGAGGCGTCCAGGACTTCGGGACGTAGTAGTAGTAGCAGTAGTAGTAGTAGTAGTAGTAGTAGTAGCAGCAGCAGCAGTAGCAGTAGCAGTAGTAGTAGTAGTAGTAGAAGCAGTGGTAG